AAACTGGTGTGTAGTTGTCATTTCTCTATCACTTCTTACCAGAAACCTGCACAAGAATCAAACATGACATATTTGACAACTTATTCCCAATAATAGACCAAACATTGTTCTGTTAAACATCAACTTCTATTCTCCTGCAGCTGCAGCAGCACACCAGTACTTCCTCCTTTATCTTTACTCACTTGCATGTTGCAGCACTGATTTTCCTGAAAAGATTCTTCTTCCTTTAGTTTTCTACTGAATGCATCTTTGAATTCTCACCTTTCAAAAAATGTTTTTCTGCAGGCTAAAGCCTCCATTACTGCACCAAGAAGCCCGTCTTGGAGCCAGAAAGTGAAAGAATGTCTTCCATGGTTTCAGAAGTGCATTGGCAACAACCTGTGTATCAAATTCTGTAAAATATTGTAAAACATTACTGTTATTCTAACTTGATAAGTCATAATGTCCACTGTATGTGCTTGATATTGGAATATCCATGTTAAGCATTAACTAGTTCCTCGTCAGTGTGCATGTTAGCCTATTGGCTCTAGAGTTAGCCATAAAGCACTCAGTGATGCCTTATTCTACACAAGCATGTTCTGCAGTTTTTAGGATACAACAATGAGTCTTTGGCCAGTACCCTCATAATTACTGCTTATTGGATAAATAAAGAAGATCTTGTACATAAATTATGATTTTAATATGCTTTACTCGTGGCCTCATAGGAACTGAACCTTGAGAACTGAACTGTAAGAACTGAACCTGAAACTTTTTAGTATCATTAACTGCTTTTTAGAATAAGATGCACTGAAGTTTAGGAGAATGTCAGTGTTAGGAATTCACCTGTTTCTTGCTTCCTGGTACAGTTCAGCATTTATAACTCTTTCCCTGCTTCCTGTAAATTCTGTAGAATTCCCTCATTTTTGACCTGGGACTCCTCACTTTGGAATAGCATCATTTAACTGCGATAGTTGGGAGACGTGGTTGAAGAAGAGCCAGTGGTTAGAGTAGGGAATCTTTTGTAGATTCATATTTATCAAAGTAAATGTGAGTTAACTGTGAGTAAACCTCAGGAATTAGAATGGGTAGCTCGTTCATATTCAGTCAAACATGATTTAGAGTGGAGGTATAGCCTCCTCTGAAGATCATAATTCAGGTACAGCTGCTTCCTTACGTTTGGTCTTAAAGCAGCAACCAGATGGAAAACTCTTCAGTTAATAGTCCAGTATTGGGAGAATATCGTCAGGAAGAATAGGGTGTTAACGAGAGCTTTAAAATGGCTAATTTAAAGACACTAGGTTGCTAATGTGCATTATAATGAGCAGGTAGCTACCTGGCCGAGGTGCTTCTGAAACCAGGAAAGCCTGAAGGTATCTGAAGGTTCTCTGCAGTTCTGCTTTCTTTCCTAACTTGTTGTGCTCGCTGCCTGCAGGCGGCACAGGTGGTGCTGATTGCTTTGTTTGAGCTCAACACCCCAGAGTTCACCATGCTGCTGGGAGCACTGCCCAAAACTTTCCAGGACGGCGCCACCAAACTGCTGCACAACCACCTGAAGAACACGAGCAACACCAGCAGCAATGTGGTCAGTAAGATTTCTGTGTCACCCAGGTTGCGGTATTCTAAGATGAGTTGAACTGATTGAACTTGAGGTGGACTTCTGTTTCCGATGTTACGTTGTATGTAATTTCATGTCGTTGATATTCAGGGCTCTCCGAGTAACACTATTGGCCGAATGCCGGCTCGTCACACACCCAGCAGGACCAGCCCTCTCACCTCACCGACAAACTGCTCCCATGGAGGACTCTCTCCAAGGTAGGCAGCCGCCTTTGATGACACTATGTCCTTAATGACACACTCACTGTGTCGATGCATGGCTGTGTTTTAACTGTTGGGATACTGGTGCTGTCATCATGTGTCACCTGTAGACAAAGTAACGCGCAGCCAGGTGGGTCGGTAGTAGCTTGAGACTGAGTGAGCTGTTCTAGAGATTACAGCCCATAATTCATTCACACATATGTGAAAACAAAGAAGCAATTATTTACAAAGACAAAAGAAATCTTACAAAACTCCTCCTGCCAATTGTCTGATTGCTAAAAGATTCGCTGCATAGCGACTGATAAACGAGCCTTTGAAGTTGTCACACACGATCATGTTGTAAAAGAAAACCAGAGGAGGGTGATTGCTGCATTAATCTGCTGTTTTTACAGCATAATGCAGCCCACTTACCTAAAATCCAGTTTCATTCTTCCACGCTGAGCAGCGCATTCAGCTCACACACACTCTGCCTGGATTGTCCTTTTATCTGCCAGCAGAAATAAACATAAACATTGATAAGTTATTTAAGTTATTGTTACTGCACTTGAACCTGCAGTGCACCATGTATGGAGAGCATTAGCAGCACAAAAATGCTTTTTCAAGGTTATCTTTCAAGATAAAATCACAGTCACACAATTAACTAATTTACCCAGCTTCACCCATAAATATCACAAACCATACTGAATTGAAATGTGGGCAAAAAAACATTTATTTTGGGCAGCGTTGCAACACTTTCAGCCCAGCTGCCATGATCCGATTGCTTCCTCAAAGTCCTGTTCTGATCACTTGCATTTGTGTATCTGAGATTTATCTGAAATGGTGAAGAAGTCAGGAGTCAGACCTGGCAAGAAGATGCTAGCTAGCAACGACAGGCCATATGGGTGCATCACACAGATACAGATTAATTATTGCTGTGTAGCATTTAATAAAAGTCCTAGAATTTTATTCACTGAAACTGGAGCTCAGTCTTCTTGGACAGTCTGTTTGCACAATTAACTGCACAGCAGTCGTATTATTGCTCAGATAATAGCATTAAAATGCTACAGAACGCTCCTACAGAACAAACAGGGTGGGTAACAGCTACAGCCACCTGTCTGTCAAACAAGCCGTGACAATACAAACTTTAAACCGTAATATAATTTAAACAAGTGTGTTGTAAAAATATTCACCCCTGTACAGTCGTTATGAAGGTAGGGATTAGCTGTAGAGACCGAAACTGTTTTTGAACAGGGCCGTAAACGTGACTTTTGGTGCCTCTGGTTGATGTTAGAGGAACTGCACTTGATTTTTCCTTCCTGGAAGCTGATACATGTTTCTTTTTATGTTAATAGGGACAAAATGTGCTTTCTTTATGCTTTAATAAAATCCAAATGGATGAATTGTGTTAAAAAATGACCTGCCATTAACTATAAAACAGAGAAGTTTGTTTTTGGCACCTTTAACAGGACTTTCGGTGAGTTGAACAAGGAAACAACCTTGACATTGAGACTCTCCAACTTCTGCTTTCTTCTTTAATTAACACTTTCCCGTAACCTTAAAGCTCAGACTAGTTTCTTTTTGTCTTTTCTCTTTCTCTTCCTGCGCACTTGCTGTTTCCTCTCTCTCCTCCCCTCTCTTGTCTCGTCCCGTGCTCTCTCCTCGTGTTGTCGGTTTCCATCCACCTTTCCCTGCTCTCTCACTCCTGTCTGTCCGTCCTTCCCTCCCGGCCGCGCTGTGACAACAGTCGGTTATGGGGTTGGGGTGTCGACGGACTATCAAAGCACCCACCTGCCCCTCCTCCTCCTCCTCCTCCGCCTCACTCCACCTCTGCTGCCCCCACCATAAGGGTCCTGCGCAGAGCGTATTCACCCAGGTAATGAGGCGGGCACGTTGGAGATTGTGGCCTAAGGAATCCACGCTCTCATCCTTTTCTTTACCCAGTTCACCAAACCATCTGAGAGTGTTTGTTTGTTTGTTTGTTTGTTTGTTTGTTTGTTTGTTTTGCTCATGCATTAAACCATCATGTCTAATAAAGTGGAAGCATCCTTTTGAAAATCCATAATTTTTAAGGGTTATGTCAGTCCTGACCTTTCATGCTCTAAATCAGTCTGCTTGTCTGTCAAGAGCACAGCTTCTTCGCATGCATATGTCTGCAGATTCATGTGGCTGTATTTTGCTTCTGCTGCATATTTTATATAAAAGTGCATGCATTCGTTTCTTTTTATGTCTGTGTGTCTGGCAGCATGATGGAGTACGACACGGAGAACATGAACTCAGACGAGATCTACAGCTCGCTGCGTGGCGTCACTGAAGCCATCCAGAGCTTCTCCTACCGGAGCCAGGAGGATCTGAACGAGCCTATTAGACGGGAGGCAAAGAGGGATGATGCAGTAAGCCACAAGCTTCTTATCCAGAACCAGTTCTGAAAAATCTGGAATTTGATTTGGCATTAAATGCTTAGAATGAATTATGATCCTTTTTTAAGACACTGCTGCGTTACATTTTTCATTTTTCAAGACATTTTTCAAACAGTTTTTAGGTTCTTAGACCTCAAAAGTGGTTTGGCTTTCTGGTTGTATGTTGACCATGAAATAACTGTGCTTTTAGTATCTCCTGCTGGTTTCTGTAACCCTTTTAAACATTTTAGTTGCCACTATTTTGGGTGGCGTTTAGAGCAGTTGTGACCATGTTTAGATGAGAGGAGGGTGCTCTAAGTTGTCAGCTAATGCTTGATAACTTGTTGCCAAGTTACGTCTATTGACTATATGAGAACATCACATCTACTAATCAGTGCTGACTCAGCCTCTGTAGCCACTGCAGGCAGACTGTGTATGTAATGCACTGATTTGTCTTCGGATACTCTCTTTCTTTTTGTGAGGCTTGTGTCATTTTTTGCATATTGTTTGGTTTGCTTTCATATTTTTATAGTTATTTGAAGCTAAAATGGCTCCAGATCTTCTTTATACCACTGCCTAAGCCCTCTCCCATCTCGCAGGCGGGGAGAGAAGGAGTAGCTTCCTCTCCTGGGTCTGATGCCCGGCTCGGCTTAGACGTGGTGGAAGGCGGTCGCACTGCCTTGGACAACAAAACTTCGCTGCTCAACACGCCATCGCCGCGCTCCTTCTCTGGGCCGCGGACTCGAGAATTTGCCCCATACGGCTACGGAGAAACCATTTGCACGTACGACAAGAGCGCCCTGAAGGAGGCCGTGTTCGACGATGATGTGGAACAGTTCAGAGACTGTGAGTTTATGCCGATTTTATGTTTTTATGTTTACAGCTCTGAGCAAAGTACCTATGTACCCCAGTCACACATGCATTAGCTGTTAGAATTTGTTACGTGGCTCAACAAACAACCAACATGCCTCTGAAAATGGTCAGGTACAAGGACTGGACTGAAAAAGTTAAAAAGTAGCCAGTGTAGTAAAAAACACTTCCAGAAAGCCTGGATAACTGTTCCTAAAGAGCACTTTAAAAATTACTTGCTTGAAAGCAACATTTCAAAAAATGAGGGGTGACTGAAGACTATTGCCACTGCTTGTGGCATCATGACAAGATCTAGTAATGTCAGCCAGCTGCGTTTTTCTTCTGGTTGGCGATGTAGTTCGATACAAAGAAAACATCTCAGGCAGACTTTTTATGTGGTCCAAGCTCCATGAGATGAGCACCATTTAGTTTCTTTATACTGAAGAGATCGTGCCCCCATCTATACAATAAGTCAGTTTGATATTGGAGCGAACTGTCACTTTAATTCTGTGATTATTATACATTGTCTGCAGTGTGACATTTAAACTGAAATCTATATTGAATAAGCCTCATGCTTATTCTGGTGGTAGAAAAACATGAAACGAGTTAAATAGCGACATCCACAGAATGAGTACAAAGAAAAAACAGCTCTTTCTGTCATATTGCATGTCAGCAATAAAAGTATGAAAATGTTTCTACAAAAGAGTTCAAGAGAAGCTGTTAAACGTGCAGGTAATGCAGAATAGGTCTGCACATGCTGCCGTCGGAGGTGTCCAAGTTTAAGTGAGCCTTTCTTGTCATTCAGCCAAACGTCAGGTTGTGCATTGTGAGCACGTGATGTCGTGAAAACACAAAGGAGCAACAATGTTGAGGCAACAAATGGCAGAATTCCCTCCATTTCACTCGGTTAGTTGTCAAACGTCATCCTGAACCAGCCGGCTCGTGTTTACAGCAGACAGAAGAAACCAGTGAGCGTCCAGCCCCTCTGTCGCAGCCGCTCTGTGCTTCACTTGTTGTTGTTGTTGTTGTTGGTGTCATCACATCCTTTTCTCTGCCACCCTCCCCTCCCCCACCCACTTCCACCTTCATCCCTCCTCCTCCTCCTACTCCCTCCTCTCCAGGCCGACGTCAGGAAAGCGGTGAAAACAAGATGGCACTCTCCAAGGTCTTTGCTCCTGGTAAACATGCCCACCCTGCACCTCCACTCCACTCACCCTCCAGCTGTGTTTGCATTCTTCACTCAGCTCCCCTCATCGTCTCTCCATCTTTTAACTCCACCTCTGTGTTAACAAAGTCCAAGCGGTTCTGCTTACAGCTGTAATATTTGAATGTTTCTAATGTTTTCACTGCGTCTAATTTGACTTTAGAGATCTATGAAAAAGTTAACTTTATATTTTTAATATTAACAGCTCAAACTGTGGATATCTGCATCCTCCGAGGACACACATTTTGAATAACATGAGGCTGCTGACGGGAACGGAGGTTTTCTGTGGGTGATCTCAGGGCTCTAGACTAACTTTTTGACATGGGTGCAC